CTAGCTTGTTGAAGTGTGGGCTTAGACATGCACCACAGCCTAGGTGGCTTAAACAACAATTTAATCCACAGTATTCCTCCCCTGGCCCCCAAAGTCATATCCTTCTCACATGCAAAATATATTCATTCCATACCAACAGCCCCCAAAGTCTTATCTCATTGCACCATCAACTCTAAAGTCCAAAATCTCATCTAAACATCACCTAAATCTGACATGGTGAGACTCAAAGATACATCACAAGGCAAAATTCCTCTGCAGCTGTGAGCTTGTAGAACCAGACAAGTTATGTGCTTCCAAAATTCCAGGCATAGGGTAGACATTCCCATTCCATAAGGGAGAAATCAGAAGGAACAAAGGGGTGAGAGGACCCAAGGAAGTCCAAAGCCTAGCAAGACAGATTCCATTAGCTCTTAAGACTTGAGAAGTATCCTTTTTGGCTCTACATTCCATCTTCCAGGCCCACTGGGGTAGAAATGTCACCCCCAGGCCTGTGTGGGGTCCCACCCCAAAGGCTCCTGGCAGAGACCCTAAGGCTTGTGGAAACTGATGTGGTAGCCTTGATGATCTCTGAAATACTTTGGGAAGTCATTTCTCCCTCTTCGTGAAGAATAATGCACATTCACAGCCAAATAGCTCTATCACCCGGTCCTGGCAGATACAAGAAGTCCAACAGCCTTTCTTCATTTTGTCCCATTTCCATCCCCAACAGTTCAAAGTGGTAGTGTTTCTGCTCATATAATCCCATAAACTCCTTATCAAGTGACTGTTCAGCCACAGTCTAAAGTGTTCTTTCCAGAACAAACTTTTTTTTTTCAATATGGATAGAAAAGAATTTTCCAAATCTTCAAATTTTGGTTCCTTTCTGCTTAATGACTCTTTCAATTCTTCTCTCTCCTTTGCATTTTACTATAAGCAGTCAGGAAGGACCAAGCTGTTCCTTCAACATTTTGCTTAGAAATCTCCTCAGCTAAATATCTGATTTCACTGCTTACAGTTCTTCCTTCCACACAACACTAGACCACAGTTCAGCCAGGTTCTTTGTCATTTTATAATGAGGACTGCCTTTCCTCTAGTTTCCAATAGCATGTTCCTTATTTCCATTTGACACCTCAACAGAATCACCTTTAATGTTCATATTTCTACCATGTATCTCAAACCTCTTCTAGCCTTTACCCAATTACAAAACTGTTTCCACATGTGTATTGCATGTGTTGCAGCAGAAGCCCACTCCTGGTACCAAAATCTGTTTTAGTTAGTTTGTGCTGCATAACAAAATACCAGAGGAAGGGGGTGGGCAGGGAGAGAGAGCAAGCCCTCTGGTATCTTTTCTTATAAGGGCATCAATCCCATCACAAGGGATCTACCCTCTGACCTCATCTAAATCTAATTATCTCCCAAAGGCCCCATCTCCAAACACCATCAACATTGAGGGGTTAGTTCTTCAACATGAATTTTGGAAGGACACAATACAGTCCACGGCACAGTAGCTTAGCCTGTCTCTGATGGGTTGGGTAGCAGACACCTAGTTTCTCCAAAAGGTTGAGAGAGAAGAGCAGAAGAGAAGGAACTAAAGAATATTCTTTGAGCTGGTGTAGTGTACAAAGGAATGTAGATTTTAGCAAAAGATTATTCTCCTGGGGACCCTGCTTATCACTTCATTGTTCAAGATGTGGCTATACAGCACTTAAGATTCTTTGAAGTAATGAAAAGTTGAACAGAACTTTTGTAAAATCAGATCCAGGCTAAGCTTCACTCATTCTCTTTGAAGCAACTCTGTGACTGAGTCCAAATAACACTGTGAAATAAAGGTCTAACTGTTGGGTCTGGGGTAGGGGTTGGACTGGGAAAGGACAAGTGTGATATGGAATTATGGCAAAGCCAAGAGAGAATTAACTACCTGCCAGGCACTTTTTATTTCTAGATTTAAATTCCTAATGGGGTTAGAAGTCATTAAGACATCCAGAGGTGCTGTAGCTTGAGTTCAAGGGCTCCAGGGAGAAGCCGCGTTAAAACAACAATAAACTGTGTTGGAGGAAAGGAACTAGATATCCAGCAAGCAGAAGGAAGGAGAGAGAGAGAGCTCCTACTGAGGAAAAGGATGCCAGATTTATTAGATTTCCTCAGAAAAGGAAAGGAATGAGAAGGAGACCATTTCAAGAAAATAAAGGGAGAGTGAAGAAAAAAACAAATCTACTGGGAAACCAACAAGAAATAATCAGTCAATAATACTAGTTGGCACAGAAAAACATCTTTACAATTTAAAGAGATCCTGTCAGTTTTTTCACAGTTACCAGCACAACTTCTGGCATATAAGAAATATACACTAAACATTTGTAGAGTGAAAGAATGTTACTAAGTCCCCACAATAACCATGAATCTGAGGAGTACAGAATTCAAGATTAACGTGGTGAAATGCAACAAAATGTATACATGCAATATAAAAAGAATAACATCTAGAATGTGGGAGAGACAGGCTAGCTACAGTTTAGAATAGGGACAAACTTAAGATTTGTGGAGCCCTTGAAATTACACAAAAATTCTCCTTACATTTTTTAGTGAGGGGATTCAGAGATTTTAATAAGAATTTCAACATGAGTTTATGAGTAATTGATGTATTATTAGGTTAATTATTAATTTGTGTTGAAAAGGATAGGTAGGAACTTACACACACATGCATATTCTTACAATTACCTTAAAATGTTCAAACGAAAATGAGTGCAAAAACATTCAAATTTCATATCTACCTTATAGTTTTATGTGCATTTAAATACTATCTGAATTGTTATCTTTTGGACATGTCTGATTACAAGGTAAACAGCACCTCAAAAATTCAGACCAACACTGCTACTGTTATTCTCTTTACATCCTACTCCCCCAACTCCAAGCAATTTTTAGATACAGCCCCCTATTCATATCCCTAATGCTGTCTAGCAATTTGTGAATACACCAAAGGCACTAACCACTTCAAGCTTCAATTCTAGTTTCTCAATAAATGTTAAAGACACTTTTATATTGTATACATTAACTAGTAGTAATCCTTTAAACGGGAGAGTAAGCAACATATTCGTTTTCAGAGAAGTTACACATTCTAATGGAAATGGAACTAGACAGGCATACAGCATACCAATTCTGTATAAATAAAGCTCATGAAAGTTTCCAATCTGAAACTCCCTAAGTGAAATTCACAAGAAACAAAAACTGAAACACTGAACACTGGCGTCTTGACCACCCACCCACTGAAGCTCCAACTGCTCGGTGTTGAATTTTAAGACATCATTACTTTTTTCTAATCATGAAAAGAAACTTGTGAACACATATTTGTTACTGTTACTTAACCGACTCTCCTCCCATTTAAACTAGGCAGAGAACTGAAAACCACTAAAAGTATTACATTTTTGGTGCGTTCTTTAAAAAAGTATTTTAAACGAAAGAAAGAAAGGAAAGAGAAGAAGAAAGAAAGAAGAAGAGAGAGAGAAGAGAGAAAGAAAGAA